AATGGAACAATTTTCATGTTTTTCAAGAAGAGGAACACTTCAATCACTCTATCTATGCTATTCTATCTATAAAAAGGTGGAACACTTTTTCGTTACGGGGAACACCAGCTATAATGTCACTATGTCGACTTTAACAAAAGAGGTGGAACACTTTTTTCTTATGGGGAACACCAGCTATAATGTTACCATATATTCACGGTGGAACACCTGCTAAAGGAATACCAAATCCGAAAACGATCAAGGCTGGCACGCAGCTGCTGCAGAGTACTTAGTACTTCATGGAAAATTCATATACGACAATATATATCTAATTAAGCTCGAGAAAAACACTGAATTATTAGAAAATTCTGAACTCAAACAATTCGTATCACAAATATTTTTAACTGAAATAATTTTAATGTAACATCTGTCAGATTTAAATCTTTGAAAGTAAAAAGCTTCTCTTAGAAATAAAAAGTTGACTATAACCTATTAAAAGACGTTCCACCACGTGAAAATTGAAGGTCTTTTAAATATATCGTAACATACGAAATTCAGACGGTTTTAACTTGCGGATAATCTGAAAGTCTTCGCTGGCAAAAATGCTTAAAATCACAAAGAAGCTTGTTCGTCAGATTTGGCCATAAGAAAAGCACTTTTATGATCTTTCTAATAAAATGACATTTCTTCGAACACTTGTTTTTTAAGAAATTTAAACAGTGAAATGAAATTTGACTTTTGAGTTCAGACTTTGCACAAACCCGGTAATGATCGAGAAATTAAAGTGGCTTGATCTCTGTTGTGGAATAGGCTCACAAATAAATTTTGACAAGCTAAACATAGTCAAGGTTACGCTGGGTTTTAGTGCGCGTCTTTCAGCTTCAGATATGGACCTTTCGAGGCAAATTTTCCAGTGAAATAAAATTTAATTTTCGAGATCAAACTTTGCACAAACACGATAATGATCGAGAAATGAAGGTATTTAAGCTCTGAACTTGATTTTTTGACCAAAAACATGGATCACAAATACGGGCGTTCGATAGAGAATTCAACTCTGCATGAAGTACTAGCATCAAGAGTCACATGACAAGTCACAATACGAATAGAAAATCGAGATACTTTAAAGTACCACGGTAATGGTCGAGATATTAAAGTGGTTATTAAACGAGTCATATAAGAAGTTATCACGTGAACTATTTAGCATTGAAGTAGTTTCTAAAGTTTTTTTCAGAAATATTTGAGCGAAATTATTTTTGTTTACTATTTGGCATGCAAATTTGACAGTTTTGTCAACGAAGTTATCAATAGTACGTGAAAACACATTATCGGTCGTCGTTTGACTATCCGATGAAGCATATAGCTATAAAAAATAGAATATTAGAGGTAAGAAAGATTAGCAAAGGACACTTTTGTACACTTACTACTATTAGTATAAAAAATATTATGAGTTTTTTCATTGCTCGATATAATAATCACGAAAATAATAAACATTATTTTGTCTACTGTGATATTTATTGAGTAGAAACAAAAATGTTTATTTGTCTTATTCTTAAAATAGGGCTTTCGGGAAATTTTGTTAAAAGGTATAAGTAATAGGATAAAGTATGTAAACACTCTGACAAAGGCACCCTTTAAAATCTGCACATATAGCTTCCACAGACAGAACGAGAAAAAAGACCGAAGAGAAGAATAATTCTTCCGTTTTTTTCCGTAGAGAAACGCAAGATAAAAAAGCAAATTACAGTGACTATTTGTACATCACTTTGGACTCGAAATGCACACTAGTGGGCACACTTTATTTTTTACAGTGTGACAATTGAGAAACGGAAGCAATTTTTCAAAAGTCTCCTGCGCATCTCTCTGAAAATGTACGGCCTGTCCATAAAATGCTCCTAGCTCACCATAAATTACCACGATAAAACAAATATATGTATTAATCGAATTGCCTGCATTTTCATGAATCGCAATTTATTTAACTCTCCTGGAATTTTTCGTCTTTTAAGCAATTACGAGTTTTAGCATAAATACAATGTGGTTTACTGTCAGCAGGTTTAAAATTATAATATTTTGAGCATAGTCGTTCATTATTTTTTGCATCATGTAGATGTATGAAAATTTGTACCCATTTTCTCTATGTTCTGTGACTCTAATCTCTCACAACAAACACATTCATTCTACTCCATCGTGACACATCTTTGATAATTATCTTCTAGTTGTATGTACACAATTTTCTCGCCGATTTCGAATCTTAAGCCACAGCATCCAGAATCTCTCAGTACGTCTTGATACGGTCAAACTGCCATAAGAAACGCACTTTTATGATCTTTCTAATAAAATGACATTTCTTCGAACACTTGTTTTTTAAGAAATTTAAATACACTTCTAGCTTTCTAAGCGATGAAATATCTTCAGCTGATTATCTACAACAGAATAAAAAATGAGTTTTCACGTACTCATATATATACTGAATGTCTAATGCTTTTAATCATCTGATTAACGCCAAAAGCTTAAATAATAACGTTCAATATGGATATAACAATTGTCATTGCCAAAGTGCTCAATTAATAATCGTTGAAAAATCTCTGCAACATTTTTAGTAATCACAAAATTATTATTCCATGAATAAAATTGAATAAATGATAATAAACATCTTTTATTTGACAATAATAATACTTCGAGAACACTCTGAATAATTTTAATAGGAATTTTATTAGCAAATTCTAATGCTAATATTTGAATATTCGAAAAATATTGAAGAAATTCAAGTAAATAATTATTTTTCTCATCATCAACATCGTTGACTTCTAAATTATTTAAATGCAATTCAATAACTTGTTTGACAAAATAATTGTTCTTGATGTGGTCAAATGCTAATTGTTTTCCCACAATTCGATATATACTTACATCATCGATTTTTAAAACACGAACATTTGGGAATATGTAAGAAAAATGTTGTTCAAATAATTGTTGATCTGGCGTTAAATATTTACAAATAACTGTATTTACATTTTTAAGTCTCAACATTGATGACTTATTAATTGAGCTACAACTGCCCAGATAAAATTTCAAACATTTGACATTTTTAAACATGCTTAATACTTTAGCGTCTACTGGCCAATATAAATCGAATGCATTTGGTGTTCCAATGGGAATAATTGAATTAAACTGAAATTTACAATCGTCATCATTTGTTTTATAGTTTGTAATACCATTTGATATACAATCAATATCACAAAAACTAAATGGCAGTGAATAAAGATAAAAATCATTTTGACAAACATCTGTATAACATATGATTTTTTGTTTTCGTTTTAATAGCCAATAATCGTTTTTAAATGAAGATATTATGGATTTAATTTGTTGGTTTTTATAAGAAAATCGAAAATAAAAATTAAAATCGATTAAATTCAATAACGTTGATAATAAATTAATCTCTATACGTCGACCATCGATAGCAGATGGTTCAGATAAATAACCAATACTTAGTGTTAAATATTCTAATGAAACAATATGTTGAATTAACAATTCAATTAAGTCATAAGCATTGGCAAATATAATTTGATTAAACTGTAATTTTAAACTAGATAACTGACTAATTTTCATATGAAGAGCTTTGTAATCATAATTAATAATTGAATGAGGATCGAAATCAAACCATTTCAATTTTGTACTTAATATTTTAATATATGGTATAAAATCAAATAAAACTAATAATTGACCGTAAAATTCAAGTTCAATTGTTAAACATTGAATAAAACATGTTGAGAGATATCGCTTATTTTTCAAAGAGAAAACACCATTTATTATTGAACATTCTTTAAATAGAAAATTTTTATTATTGAAAATGCATCGAGTCGTATTGTCAGATAATGAAATATGTCCGCTTATTGTAACAGTTAGAGAATATAAACTTTCTACAAGTTTTAAATATAATTCTAGATCTTGCTCTTGTCTACAATGTAAATTCAAATGTTTTAAACTTCTAAATGATAGACAAGTATTTGATAGTAAATAGAGTTGTTCTGTTGAACAATGTTCATAACCTAACGTCACTGAAATAATATTTGCTGCAATTGACGGCATTATATTAGAACAGAAATAATTAAAAGCTTTATATGATGTATATCTAATGTCAATATCATTCGTATAATAATTTAAAAGTAATCGATTAAATCGTGTATTTTGATGAAAAAATAAATAGAAAATTTCAGCTCGTTTAATATAATAAAAAATTTCTAGTAGAATTTCGTTTGGTAATATTTCAAACGTAGTAATAGACATTCTAAAAGATGAATATACAATACGTGTGTTTCAGTTCAAGCACTGATGTATCGAATAATTTCTTTCATAGCATGTCTATATTGGACTGTTTAGGACGTTGATCACCAAAAGTAGTGAGAAATAGCCGTTTAATCAAGCTGAGCTTAATATTCAATCTAAAAGAACGACGGCTGTTTAATTCTAGAAAAGAAGCTTGAGTCATTACACTCTTCTACAAATTAAAGCAAGTCCGAACTCTTCAGGTGTTGGACAGACCTCTTAACATCTACAATCTCTGATAAGGTTTAGGAAAACCTTAAATGTGTGGATGACAAGTACCCATCAAACGCTGCAACGAGTATTTTCATTCACAAGTTCAACGACCTACTGAAAACTGATTTACCAAAAATGATCCATTTCTATCTATATTCATGAAAGTTTAAAAGATAAAACCTCAAAAATCTTCAATTAAAACTACAATTACTTAACGTTTCGACTGTGCAGTCGAACGTCAGTTTTAAGAGTCATTTTCAAGAGAACATACTGTAGAGTTCAAGTTAAACAGAAGGAGAAAAACATGTATATATATAATA